CACAGTGTCAGAGCTTGGGTAGACACAGCCTGGGTGTGCACACAGCAGTGTCAGAGCTTGGGGAAGACACAGCTTGGGACATAACACAGCACAGGGACTCAGTCTCAGGATTTGGGGCTGGGATGGAAGAGGAAGAAAGCACTGAGGGATTAGCTTTATGCCATGCAGGTGACTAACACCAACATTAAATCAGAAAGCTTAAGGCTCTTGGACCATACTCTGGCGCCGATCACTCTACACTCCCAAGTGCTGTACCTAGAGATGCTTTGTAAACAATTCTGATAATTCCAAGTAGAAAATTCTCACTTCTTAAAAACAGAAAATACCAACATGCTTTTAAAAAACTAGACACTTTTCAAAACAACTAATTTTTATCAAAAGTAAACATACATACTTAGTATACCCAATTCAAGTGGATATAATAACTAGCTCTTAGAAAAAAAAATCTGGTACATTAACTACCAATAAAACTCTACACTTTTCATTGGCTGTGTTAAACAGATGTGTCAACTTATTCAACTCATTGTTTTCTAACTAGAAGATAGATTAACTTTTCCTGGGCTTGTGACTCCTTTAGCATGAGCCTAGTAATGAACGACAGGAAAAAGAGGAGGGAGGGGAAGGGCACAGCACATGCAAATACACAAGAGACAAAAGCCAGAAACATGCACGCTAAATGCATCCATAAGACACTGTCAGAACCCACACTTACTTCTTCCGCTGCAAACTTCAGCACTGCTGTGAACGGTGTACTTTCAGGAACACTGAGACTGCAACAAGTAAAGAAGAATTTGACACAGTTCATTTCATTGCAAATGGGGTACATTTGTTAGGTCTGTGAAGGGTGTCTGTTTTCAAGGAAGCATTCTATGCACTGATGCTGAAAACAAAACACTAGAAAAGCAGAGTCCAGACAGGAGCCACAGCTCCCTGTGAAAACCAACATCCTGCAAGTAGAGTTCCGCTTTCTCTTTCTTTTTATGTTTGCATGTGTTTAAGGTTTATTGTATGTTATGTGTATGTGCCTGGGTCTATGTGTGTACACATGTGTAGAGGTGCTCACAGAGCCCAGAAGAGGGCATCAGATCCTTTGGAACAGGAGTCACTGCCAGTTGTGAGCCATCATGTGGGTGCTAGGAATTGAACTTGAGTCCTCTGCAAAAGTAGCCTGTGCTCCTAAGAAATCACCACGCCATGGCTCCACCCAGGTTGATACAAGTGCAGACCATGGGCAGACACTTAGATGAATTTTCTCTCTTCTTAAAGACAAGGTATCTTTAAGAAGAAGCTAGCTTCCAGCCCAGAGAATTATGCTTGCCTTTGCCTCACAAATGCTGGGAGTATAGGTGTGCCAATGTGCCCAGAGGGCTGTCAGCAAGGTCAACTTTTCCATATCTTCAGTCCATTTTATTGCCTCTCATCTAAGTTTTTAAAATAAAAAAATTAAAGACAGTGTTAACTAAGTACAAAAACCAGACACCTCTCAAGTAGAGAAAACCCAAAAACTTAGGGTTTCTATTTGCTATCACATAACCCATCAAGGTCTTAATATTAACTACTGTCACAGAACATTTATAGGGCTAAGCCTATTCCTCTTCAATAGTCACACCATACAGTACTGACTTTCAGAAGGGCAAATGATTTTTTTTTTTGTGCTAGCATTTTTTCTTCCAAATGTTTTTTCTTCCAAATAACTAAAGTAGGTATTTTGTTTTCCTTTCCTTCAGTTCCGTTTTGTAAATAGTGAGGCAGAGAATACAAAAAAAAAAAAAAAAAAAAATCTAATAGTCATTTGTTTAAATGCAAAGGTTTTGGTAGTATTTTGCAAATACTCGAGAACAGACTACACACACATGTGCACACAGTCACACATGCATTATATATACACGGCACTTAAGAGTTAATAACTCATTTGGTCACAGTGTATTCACTGGAATGGTCAAGGTTCCAGGAGTACTGACACTGGCACTGCCTTACCACCCTTTCCCGTTCCTCCTCACTCTTCTTTCCAGAGCATATTCACACACTGCTGAGCATAGTCCAGTACAGGGGGACACACAATAACCAGAGCAATGTGTCCTGACTTAACCTACCTTAATCCTGAGCAGAACAAAAGAGGTAGACTATAGAAATAGGCTTTCCCAACAGTAGCTATGTGCTTTATTGTAAAGGTACGGGAGATGTTAATGGACATTCCATGAAAATGAGAGAAGTCATTCTGACTTCTTTTGAACGGTGGGAAAAGGAGTTATGGAAATTTTGAAATAAAACAAAAATACCAAATAAGAAAATTTTGGGGAGTACAGTAGAGCACTAATCATGAGGGTTTTTTTTTTCCATAAAACTCACCAGTGCTATTGTAATTTTCTTCAGGAACAGAGTTAAGTGCAGAGAACACAAATTTGGTGTTTTACCAAGCAAAATACTCCAAACAAGAGAGGTGGCTATCAGATTCCTGGATGCTTGCAAGGGAATGATTTAAAAAGGCAGACCATAGACTTTCATCTGCACAAGAAATGAGTAGGAATGGCACTAGGGAGGCGACAGTGACAGATTAAAAAGCCACTTGGTAAACAATTAAACGAGTTATTATAGAAGACACACTGCAGTAAATCATCTAAAGAGAGAGAATATGGACATCTGAAAACAACAGTTTAAAGAATGAGCCCTTACTGGAGAGGTGAGGGATACAGAGACCACTTAAGAAATGGAAAGGTAAGGGAACCACAGGTCATGAAGCTGAACGAATCACAGGTGGGAAGCTACAGGAAACGAGGACAGCTGCTATCAGCTCCTTTAGCTAGGCCTTGGTGCCACCAGATGAGTCATGAATAAAATCTACGGAAATTCTGGTCTTTTGCCAGTTAGCATAGGACTTCCAGCTGCAGTAACTCAAGAGATTTACTTAAAATTCATAATAAGATTGAGACGGATAACCCGTGTTAACCATCAATTGAACTGCTGAAGCATAAGGAAGGGCCCAACAAGGACACAAGGCCCTACACCCACATTTCCCAATTCCGCTAAGCACTTTTTATGAAGACCGAAGTGTGTGTGACTTGGGGCTCAGCACTTAGGCATCCAGTTGTTGAGCTTACACGCACACGCACTCTCTGAAGTTACCAGTGTAGGTTAAGACCTGTCAAAAGTCCAGACTTAGGAAGTCCTCCCTAACTTCCAGTAACAGCTGGTCCAAGTAAAGACCTTTAAATCAAATACAAGAGTTCCATCCTTGTTCACTGTTCTTCCCGTTGCACCGGCCCACCCAACGCGTTGCGAGGGGGCGCTGGCTTCAGCAGAAATGCTGCACCCCTCCTCCTGTCCCCTTCTGTCCCGCCAGGCCCGGCCAGCTCCAGCCCTGCCGGTCACTCACACTTTGTACGGTAGCCGCGGGTCCGATGTCAACGTGATTTTAAAGGACACCTTCGACCTGCAGGAGAGAACAAGAAGGCGTTACGGTCAGATCCGGCCACGGAGTTAAGGCCTGGACACAGAGACGGACACTTACATGGTGGAACCGCCTGACACACACCGCGCCCAACCGCCCGCCGCGCTTCCTCGATGGCCGGCAGCGGGGGCCTTCGCGGCCCACGTCGCCCTCCAATGCGGTTATCCACACAGCGCCTGAAAATTGTGCCGGATCTCACAGGCTACAGAAGGCTCCTAGTCCACAGTTAGAAATTTCATTCTGAGTGTGTATCTATCAAGATAAGGTATAAATAGCAGATAAATAATATACTTTTACTTTTGGTAGTTTATTGACACATTTTTCGTCAGGCAATGTAATAGAAGTCAAATAGAGTGGCCGTTAGGTCCCCACTGGCTGGTTACGGCGGAAGTAGGAACTGAGTCGAAGCCAGACGTGGCGGCGGAACTGGGGGCGGGACTCAAGATCTGGGCGGATAAGGAAGCGTTGCGGAGTTGCTAAGCAACCTACCAGCAGCACAGAGAAGCTGGACTCAACTGCTTTAATTAATGGCATTCGTTGATCTTTCTAACATTTCTGTTAATACGATTTACATATGTATTAACTTTATAGTTTTCTTATACTTCACACTTCACTACAGATTTTTTAATAATTTCAAAAGAAAGTTATCACGATAGAATTATGCTGAGATTCCTGCTGTTAGGGCCCAGAAGAAAAATTTTTATCCTAGCACCAGAAAGTCTTGGAGGAGAAAAAAAAATCATCAATACATCCTGTAGTTCTTGATGTGGCCAAATAGAATTTAACTCTAATGCAAGGTTGCCAGTCAGGTACATTACCAATGAACCTTAAGCCTTGTGTTCACCAGGCACTAAACCAAAGGCTGAGCTCACAGTGTGCACCAGACACTAAGCCAAAAGCTGTGATCCCAAGGAAATCTGACATGTGTCCTTTAGAATCTATAAGTCAGTTGTATTTCTATAGTGAGTGGGGAAAGCTGTCATTAATCTTTATCACAATGTAAACACCAAGATAAAATAAGCATTCCATCTCACAATAACTATGCCTTTTACAAGAAATACTGCAGTGAATAGATGAAACCAGAAATAGGCACTGAATCAAGAGGAAGATCCAGTCAACCTTTAGAATGACCGGTAGATTCTTCATGAGAAATACTGATAGGTAAGAAGCTCCCCTGGAAATATTGGAACTACATCTCATTTTTCCTACAGTTCTGTAGTTAGATGGTCTCCTATAATGTTTTCTCCCAAAGGTTCTGGTGCTGACTGTAGGTAGTGCTCCAATATTCTGCTGTATGTCTTGTAGTGAATGCAAGAGACATGCACTGACTTGTAGGTGAGGGGATCAAGAGCTGTATCTTCTAACAGCTAAAGCTGCAGAGTTAATGTTCATGACTAAAGTGTTGTCTATGAAGGCAAAATTACCAATGGTGTGCACCTGTCTACCTGCTGCCATCTATTTAAATAACACAAAGTTAGAATACAAATTTCAGTCTGTTTCTAAGAATACATGTACATTTTAAATAAAATTTGAATTGTGTTACCTAGTTTGGTTTCTGCTCAAGTATGGAACCACGTGACAAAATGCTGGAAAGGATACCATAAGTGTTACATCTGAGATGGGAAGGTGTCCTGGCAGTCCAGAGCCAAGGAATACCACATGTCACACTGCACAACAAACCTCTCACAAGAGATGTATCTGGAGGGTGACTGCCTCTGCTAGGATGAGAAGCAGAGAACTGGGCAAAACACAGGGTTTATATAGGGTTCCATGAGGAGTGGGGATGGGCCAGAGCTTTCCAGAGTGGCCTGGGACTGGAGGAATTAAGTGGCCTGATCTTTGGGCAAGCTCAAGAATTGGTGGAGATTTTTTGTGTTTGTTTGTTTGTTTGTTTTTTCTTTAGAACGGGGCCTAGCTATTCTTCCTCAGGGCTGTGAGCATGACAGGGAAAGCCCTCTTGCTACTCAAGTAGGCATGAATAGCCAACAAACATATTTTGTTCAGAGTTCCTGTTATATGTACACTACAGAGTGAAAAGATTCAAACCCAAATGGGTTGTGACTTCAATACTCAGATGCTGAGGCTACTCCAGAAATAATGTACTGAATCAAAATAAAAAGGAAAGCCACTGTATTGTTTTCCAGTTCCAAAGAAACATCTGGGACTGGCATGTTGCAGAGAGTGTCCTTCCGAGTGGCTCCACCTCTCTCCTAACTGAACCAAGCTGCTGATTTAATTCCCCTAAATTACATATCAGTTGTTTCTTCTGCCATACCTTGTGTTTGACTCCAAATTCTAGAGTCTGCTTCTTCATCTCCTCTAAGCATTTGCCCTTTCACCTACCGGCTAAGTGTCCTTTCTGGGCCTCGTGGGTCTCAGCTCCTCTCTTGTCTACTTGCTCTTTCTTCTTTTCTTTCCTCTTCCTCTCCTGCTTCTCTCCACCTCCTTTTATGACCAGGTTCAGTCTGGACACTTCCAGATGCTTCTAGCTGAACTCTCCTTTATATCAACAATAAACTCCTTGTCTGGCATAGGAGTGGTCATGCCTTCATTTCCATTCAATTATCAAAAGATAAAGAGAAGCACCTATTTGTCGCTGTTTAAAATGTTCTTTTCCATTTTAATTTCTCCTCACTACCACCACATGTTCTTGTCCTCAGAATGGCCATCTCTAGTGCCCTGTGAGTTTCACCTTGATTCTAGAAAGAACACTATAGATTCTTATACATTCAATGTTTTTTTTAAACTTATCAAGTCATTTCCAATTGGCAAATTTTATAACAAAAGGATTCTTGAATTTGCTGAAAATTTTAAATCCTAAAGTATCTTTAATATAAACAGAAGCAGACTCTGAAGTGAATTTTAATAACTACTTGAACACCAAGCAGCATAAATGGACTAATGTGTTCTGGAAGACACCCAATTAGTGTCACAGAGAGCCATAAATGACTGCAGAAGAAAACTGTGTGACCACACTATATCTCATTAAAGCACAACAAAACATAGCAATGTTGTACTTCTAAAAGCATAGAAAATTATCCGTAATAGAAAAGAATTAAGGGCCAGTGGTGTAGCTGTCTGGGACATACATACAAAGCATGAGGCTCTGGCTTCTGTGTGTGACCCAAGCACACACAACAACAAGAATGACAACAACATTAAACACAGGGTCAGGATGAAATTATGGTCACATTGCTAAATAGAAGATAAACAAGAGTAGAGGAGCTCTGAGAGGGAAATTCTAAACGCAGCCGAGGCCTTGTTCCTGGATCCTGACAGCTCATGAATATTCTCATTCAAGTCAACTTCCCTGTCCAGAGTTTCTCAGTATATCTGAGGCTTTTAGGTCATTAATTCTTCATACTCAATTAAGTTCTCTCCCCTCAATAATCTATAAAAACTCATTGCTTTAGAATAATAACTCACAGCTCATCAATACTTACCCTTCTATCAAATATGCAAATTACTTCACATAAGAGAGATTACAAAATACAGAGTTTAACTGTGGCTGGCCTTGACTGTAAGTTACAATTGTGAGACAGTTATGTTAGATCCACAACACCTGCAGTGACCACCAGGCACTCTACTGAGACATTGTCAGAGATCCAGAGCCTTCCAGGGATTAGTATCTCTTACTGAGAAACTTAGAACATCAAAATGGATATTGTTGACCACATGTCCTGCTTCCTACCCACTTCCCTGATTCTTGCTTAAGATTCAGAGAGGCTGTTTGAAGGTTTGTGCTATTGACAGATTCCCTGGGAGGCAGATACACAAGAGTGAGGGAGCTTGACTAGACAATAAAGATGGCGAATTTCTAAGATGGCTGGCTTCTTCCTCCCCTCCTGACCTGAAACAAAAGCATGGGCAGGTTAAAACAAAGGCCTTGTGGAGTTTTTTTTTACCTTCAGGTCCCCTGCTGATAGACTGGATCAACAAATTCAAGGTCAGATCAAGACATAGTACACAATATTTGTGGGCCAATCAGCTGTCCTATCTTTCCTCAAACTGACCAATCCTAAATTAAGGGAGGAAGACCCTTCAGAGACTTAAAAAACCCAGCCCTTGCAATGAAACTAGATTTTAGCTTCCCAAATTTTGCCTTTGCTTTATAGAGTCTCTCTCTCTCTCTCTCTCTCTCTCTCTCTCTCTCTCTCTCTCTCTGTCTCTCTCTCCCTCTCTCTCTCTCTCTCTGGTCTACTTCTGTTTGTGGTGTTAGAGCTTTCTCTACTGCTCCCTCTCACACTTAAAGACTTTCCTGCCTTTTAGTTCTTTAAACTGGCAGAGAGAACACAAACCCTATCAAGAACCTTAGATGGTAACACTGTATAACCATGCTGGAGAGAGTTATAAACAGGATTACTATGAGATTAAAGATGACCTTGCTTAGTCTTGTGGGCCAGCATAGAAAGGAATGTCTGCTGAGCCAGCCAGTCATCCAAGATACTGCCTCACCTTGGGCAAACAATTTCAGGAAGAAGAGTTCCCACTTCCCCCAAGTTGCAACAATTTCTTCACTCCCAAGTTTCTAGCTCTGCCTCTACACAGGGTCACAGACAGCTTTTTTCCCTGGCAGACCCTTCAATTTCCTGAGGAAGAGAGGCTGTACCTCACTGTGTGTGGCAATAAACACAGATCCATCTGTTGAAGGCCAGACGCTGGCCTCTTTCTGTGCCCTGTCTCTTTACACTGCCGTGGAAATTAACAACTCCCGCCCTCAAAAACCATGAGTCTCCCCTTACTTCTGCCTGTGGGTCTTGATTTTCCTCTGTTCAGAGTCCCATCATTCTCGCCATCTTGCCATGGTTCAGGGGCTTGAACTCTTCTCAACCCCCCATGCCATGCTGTTGTCTATATCTATCCACAGTGTTAATAACTCTTCTAATAAACTCACCCCCAGCAATCCATGCCAGTGTGTTTGAACTCAAACCTGAGAAATTTCAATAATTTGGTGGTAAGAAATCGTGCAGAGAGGAGAGCTGATCTAGAGACTGTAGAAATGCTGTGTTGATAGGAAAGTAAGTGGAGGGTTCTTTTACTGGTCCCTGGGGGTCCAACTACAGCAGCCTCCCTCCACCTGAACAAGCCATGAGACAGGAGACAG